GTTGAAAATATAGTCTAAGCTTTCGTGAAGCTATGACCGGTGCCAGAGCTAACTTCTCGAGGTGGGGATACCTCGTTTCGGCATTGACCAGGGTTTTTATGATATAATAAATCGGAGATTGCGTAACTTTATTTTTGCGGACTAGTATTACGCTTACCGCGACTTCTAAAACGGCCAGTTAGACTAGGAGGCGCTCGCCAGGTTCTATTTTAGCGAGTCATGGGGGCGAGGACAAGTATGTCTTAGCTTTCTCAGGGCCTCGATGCATTTCTGAATTCTACTGGAGCCCGTTGTCTTTTTTCAGCATGTTGAAAAACTTGTGGCATCTATCGGATGACCGTGAGATGAATCTCGACAGGGTGGCTATCCGACCAGTCAGCTTTGCACTTGTTTTTTGCTGGTTAATACTTCAGGTATTCCTTCGATAGCCTTGGTCTGGTCTGGGTTGACTTTGATGCCTCTTTGTGATACCATGAAACCGAGAAATTTGCCCGAGGTTACGCTGAAGGCGCATTTTTCGGGTTTTGGTTTCATGTTGTATCGTCTTAGTATGTTGAATGCCTCTGTAAGGTTGTTGATGTGGTCTTCTTTCCTTTTTGATTTGACCAACATGTCGTCGATGTAAACTTCCATTATTTTGCTGAGTTGATCTTTGAACATCTTGTTGACCAGCCTTTGGTATGTTGCCCCTGCGTTCTTTAACCCGGATGGCATGACTCTGTTGCAATACATTCCCTGATGGGTGATGAAAGTAGTTTTCTCTTGATCCTCCTCCTCCACGAGGATTTGGTTGTAACCCGAGTAGGCGTCCAAGAAGCTTAGCAGTTCGTGCCCTGCTGTTGCATCGATGAGTTGGTCGATATGAGGCAGGGGAAAAAAGTCTTTCGGGAATGCTCTGTTTAGATCTGTGAAATCTACACATATCCACCATTTCCCATTTTTCTTCTTTACCATGACGACATTTGCGACCCATTAGGGATATTTGGACTCTCGGATAGAACCATTGGCGAGCACCTTATCAACTTCATCGCTGACGGCCTCATTAATTGCGGTATTGAATTTTCTCCTTATTTGCCGCATTAGTGGATAGAGCGGGTCGATATTCAACTTGTGCATAGCGATGTCTTTCGGAATGCCCGGCATATCTGAGTGGGAGAAGGCAAACAAGTCGGCATTGTCAGCTAAGAATTTATGAAATATACCTGGTTCTGAGAGATTGTGCACGATATAAGCCTTTTTTGTGCTGTCGTTGTTGTTTAGTCGGAGGGGATCAAGATCTTCTATTGTCGACTCAACGGCTTCCATAATGTCGGGATCCTTAATAACGTCTATCTGTGCGTCGGATTTGGTTCCCGACATCGCTAATTGCTATGCTTCCGCATTTGCTCCTTTTAGTTGCTGGGTATGTGTGCAATACTGGGCGATACGATAGCATTCTTACGTAGTGCGTTGTTCGCCTCGGATGCTGAATATTCACCATAGAGTAGGGAACTTGATTACTTGATAGAGACTTGACGGGATAGCCCTCATGGCGTGTATCCACGGTCGTCCTATGATAGCGTTGTAGGGTGTATCTTGGTCCATGATATGAAATGTTGTTTCTAAGGTGACTCCTCCGGCTTGAACGGGTAGCGTTATTTCTCCAAAAGTTCGCTCAACTGCATTATTAAAACCTGTTAGTGTCATGCAACGCGGTATTATCTTGTCCTCGAGTCGCATTTGTACGAGGACTCGAGGGTGGATAATACACTCGCCGCTTCTGTCATCTACCATTATTCTTTTCACATTAGTGTCTGAAATAGGTAAAGTAATGACAAGAGCATCGTAATGAGGGAAAGTCAAACCGTCGGTATCAGACTTATCGAAGATGATATTGTCTTCGAGGTCGTCATGCCGTTCGTGGGTGATCGACCACTTGAGTTTGTGTGTAGTGGTGAATTTTACATGGTTGATCGTTGATTCGTCGCCTTTGCTCACGATCATTTGGACAGTACGAGCAGGAGAGGGTGTCTTTGGAGGTCCCTGGTGCTGTTCACGTTCGCGACCGAAGTTGGCTCGTCCCCGGTCACTCATTAGTTCTCTCGGGTGCCCTTGGTTTAACATTCTTACTACCTCTTGCCGCAGACCTATGATGTCCTCAGTTTTGTGGCCCCACTCCTGGTGGAATTCACTGAGGGCGTCTGACATCCAAGTATTCGGGTCGGACTTCATCTTTTGTGGCCATTTCACCTTTGTGCCGAGCTTCTCTAGTGCATATACTATTTTTGAAGGGGAGACACAAAAATTGTAAGCAGATAAGAGCAGAGGCATACCTCTTTCATTTCGCTGAGTCCCGGTGTGCGGCCTGGGAGGACCTTCCGGATGCCGAGGAGGTGGTAGGACGGTTGTTTGGATGTAGGGCTGATGTCTTTCTCGGCCGAGATGTGGACCTGGCTGATCCATTCGATCGTCATTACGATGATCTTTCCTCGATTCTGCTTGAATTGACGTCAGTCGTTGGGTCGGACCGTTGAGATCGTCCTCGTCGGCTCTCACCTCGGTGCAATAGGCATTGCGAATTTCTTCCCAAGTGGTGGAGGGTATTTCATGAGCCTACTAATAGTTTTCTGGTTGCTCTCGACCCGTTCTGGAAGGCTGCTACCGCCATCCCCTCCGATACATTTGGCATAATCATTCTCACCCTGTTAAAATGGGCGAGGAAGTCCCTGAGTCCCTCGCCAGGTGATTGCCTAACGACGAATATGTCATTAACCTTCTGCCTTTTTTAGCTCCTGCATGAGTGGTGAAAAACTTGTCGGCCTTTTCCTGAACGTTGCTATTGACCGTGCCGGTAGTTGTGAGTACCAGGTTAGGGCTCCCCCTGTTAGGATTTCGCCGAACTTTTTCAGTAGCACCGATGGAACTTGCTCCTTCGAAAGATCGTTGCCCTTCACCGTTGTGGCGTAGTGGACGATATGATCTTCTGGGTCTATAGTGCCATCGTATATTTTCAGGTACGGTGGCATTTTGAAGGTTTTGGGAATGGCATGGGAGCTGCTTCCTCATTGTACGATTGCTCGACAATCGACCAACGTTTCGTTTTAGTAGCAACCTTGGGGCGCCTGGTATCTTATCGACCCTTTCTTGGTGCTCCTTCGTCTGGTCACGGAGTGTCTTGTTTTTGTTTTCCATATCTTCAATTTTCTTTAGAATGATTGTGAGTGCGTCATTACCTGCACCAGCAGTGGTGTAAGTGTTACCCGTTTGGGGGACGGACTGCTCGCCAGTCATTGTTGTGATATCTACTTGTGCGGTGTTTCTATTCTCCCTTTGGATGGGTCTGTCGAGTATGTTGTTTAGAGTGCTTGTCAGCCACTCTTCCAGTAACTTTTTCACTGCAGGTGGTGCTTCCTTAGTTATTGACGTGGAGGCTCCTTTTTCACGTGAAGCTGTTACGCTTTCGCGAGGGGGAGGTGAGACGCTCCGCCTGGGCGTAGCATTTGGTGTCGCGTTCTCATTGTCTTCTCTGCCATCTTCGTTGATGGTGTTCGAGATGTTAGTGGTGACGCCTACTATCGTTTTCAACCTCGCGTCTTCTTTTCCTGCCATTGTTAGTTTGTACATACAAGGAAAATATTTTTTTTATGATCTAGAAAGAACTATAGTTTCAACTAAAAAGCTCCTCACAGACGGCGCCAAATTGTTGGAGCAAATAATTGCTAAATTAATTAGTAACATGATAATGGAGTGAATCTCAATTGAGCTTAATAAATCCTAGATCGAATAGAACGAAACTCTAGTATAATGAGAAGAGTTTAAGAGCATTAATTAGTGGGTTCAATAGATTAAGATTGACAAAATATGTAATATCATAAATGTGCAATAAATGCAAGAAACGACAATCGTTATAGTGTAAAGGAACTGTCACCCAATGATTGTGTGACTGGATGCTCTTCTCTCTGACGACGTGAAAAGGTATGCAATTGATATGAATGTGGAATCTTTGAGATTTATGGATGAAGGTTGAATAACATGTGCTTGAATAAAGTGAATGAGACAACTCTTTCGTATATTCTTCTCTCAACTTTACAATGTGTTTCTTAGTTCTCAAAAAAGCAGATCCCCCTTTGGTTCCCTCTCTCTTCCTATTTATAAGGGACATTCCCCAAAAAATCCTAAAAAGTACAACATAGAGAATATCCAAAGGAATATTCTTCCTATCTATTTCTGAGATTAAGTTATCGTTGCTACTCTATCCCAGCTACCCGCTTCTAGTCGTCGGCCTTTATTTGGACGACTGTCGGTCGCTGTATCGTGGTCGACCCCGTCCTATGTCCTATTTATCCGTTACCGTGGATACCAAATTTGGACCTATACAACATATACAAAATTAAGCTAAAGATTATTGGATTCACATTAACTCATAAATTATATAGTAAGGGATCGTTTGGTAGGATGCATTAGAGAAAATAATGCATCCATTAGCTTTTGGTGTTACTAATCCCTTGTTTGGTATACCTTTTCAACCTATGTATTAGTTATACAACCTATTTGGTATTATCCTCTGTATAACTAATACATAGCAAACCATGGTATTAACAATACCAATGCTATTAATGCATGCATTAGCATGGTTAAACACAAAATTATCCTTAAACTCTCTTAAAGCTAAAGAATATGGATAACATTTGTGTAAACAACTAATTTTCTTAAAGATTATGCAATACATTTTAATTTTTAATATACATCATACCAAACAATAGATAAGAAATAATCTCTCAATTACTAATTCCTGCGTTACTAATACACATTATTCAATACTATTATTATACACCATACCAAACGACCCCTAAGTCTGCCCTGCTTAACGTGGGTTCCCTATGGCGAAAAGAATCTACTCTCCCTCCACCTTTCAAAATTCAGAAAAATCACCAAACATTAGGGGTCTATGTATAATTTACTAAACTTCAGTGCCCAATTAGTATTCTTTCCCTGATTTCCAAATTACTCACTTCGCTCCCATCTCTCTATAACTCCATCAACATCATCAATCATCAATTCTCAATCGGATCTTTCACGACCCGAATAATTTCAACTCTCGTTCGAACAAAAACCTAACCCTAATTCATTAATATTCCAATTCCAAAATCATTCCTTTCAACCTCCGCCATGGCCAGCGATTCTAATGAACCTTCACGTCGCAAGCACCGTCGATCTTCTCCCTCTGATGAAGACGGCACAGAAGAACCAATCAAACGCCGGAAGCACCGCCACCATCACCGTCACCACCGTCACCACCGCCACCACAGCAAAAAACACGAAGAGAAATCCGATTCGAAACCCGATAAGGTAACGGGTAAACCGAATGATGAATTAGAGGATGTACCTCAACAAGTTGGCACTGTTATTGGCGTTTCTACTTTAGGGCTCGATTATGATATGGAGGAAGGTGAAATTATTGAGGATGATGTGGCGGCTACTGCTGCAGTTGGTGATGGTGATGAATTGGACATGGTCTGTTCAGATTTCATTCAGCTCTTATTTCTCTTATATATTTCGTGTTTACCTTTTTTTCTTCCAGGGCCTGTTTGGTTGCTGTTATGATTGACAGTGCAATTTATTTTAGTTTCAAAAAAATTACTAAAGTTATTTTCGGTTAGATTTAAGTTATATACACCGACAACGCAGTTAATTTTTACAGCATCAATTTAATTTAACATGAACATGTTATAACAGATTACTTATCAATTATTGTACGCTACCAATTACTGTTATAAAATAGAGTTACCTGCAATTGTTTTAAGTTTTAAGTTATTTGATTGCTTAAAATTTTTAAGCTGTCACAATCAGCCACTTGAAAGGTAGCTGCAGGTAACTCTCTTTAATACTAGCATTGATTTGTAACCTATAATAAATGGTAAGTAACCTGCTATAACAGGTTACGTTGATGGTGTTAAGAAATCATCATACTGTCGTTTATATAACTATGCACTACTTCTATTTGAACTTTAAGCAACCAAAAAGAAAGAGGTCCCGTGCTTGGATTTGTACGATTTTTAGTGTCAAAGATGTGCTGAATTTAGTATTTGTTTCAACTGTTTGATTAATAAGTATGTTGCACAAATAGACATGAGAATTATGTATTCCATACAGAGCTTTGAACTTCACCATTACTTTGTTGGGGGCAAAGTTACTCTAAGCGTTCCCTGATGACCGAGGGCTTTCTTTTTATTAGTAAGAAACTTTCTAGTGATTGTTAAAAGTTCATTCTTTTTTTTAATGGTAAAATGTTGTAAACCGTACTTTATCATTTAATTTGCCCACATTTCTTGTTTAGGAATTGCATAAAGCTCAACGACAGGGGCCTGCGGTGGAAAAAGTTGACTGGAATTCCACTGCTTCAGGACGGCATGACGAGCAAAGGAAAAGTAAAAAGGTTGATAATTCTAGAGAAAGAAAGTCTAGTGACAAGCATTTTGCGAATGGTAGTTGCATAAATGAATTTCATAAATTGGACTCTAAACCACAAAAGGAAGATAGTTATGCTGGTGAAGAAGGTAGAAAACAAAAGAGCTACGATGACGATGAGAGCCATTTACAGGATGAAAGAAAATCCTTGACTCCTGAAAGTTCTGGAAAGAGGCATAGATCTGTTGGGGTATCATCTTCTCATGATGAGCACCTTGAAGACAGACATGTTACGAAGTTATCCAAGTCACCTGATAGGTTTAGAGGAAGATCACGATCGAAAAGCGTATTGGAGGAGTCTTTCCTTGTACCGAAGTCCCGCGAGAAAGATGATGCATATGAGAAGGAAAGCAGATATAGAAGTAACTTGGATGATGAAAAAATTGGACGCAACAAGGACTATCGACATCGGAGCCGAGAGTCTTCAAGGGATGTGGAAAAGGAGCATAATTCTAGTTGCAACAGACACTCTAGGGACAGGTATTATACCAGAGATAGTGTAGACAGGTATCGGGAGAGCAGCATCGAGAATGAAAGGGATAGATTGAGAGAGAAAGACAGGGAGCGTGAGTTGGCTAGAGAAAGGGACAGAGAAAGGGGAAGGGAAAGGGATAAGGAGATGGAGAAGGAAAGGGATAGGGAGAGAGACAGAGAGAGGGAGAGAGAGAGAGCTCGAGATAGGGAAAGGGAGAGGGATAGAGAACGGGAATATGAGAGGGGAAGGGAAAGGGAGTGGGAGAGAGATAGAGATAGAGATAATTTCAGAGAGAGGGAGGAGAGAGAAAGGAGGAATAGGGATAGGGAAAGCAGAGGACGAAGTAGGGAGGCAGATAGAGATAAATATAGTGATAAGTCTAGCAGGCACCGGAGATATGATGACCTTGATGATGGTTTTGCCTATAATAGACGTAATAGACATAATGAGACTGACCTTCAGAGAGAAAGGAGGAGCGATCACGCAAAAAATGAAAATGCAAAGCAAAAAGCTGTAGAGGCAGACAGTGAGAAATCAAAAAGGTATTATTAATTCTTAACTAGGTACTTTTGGTATTCAGAAACTCTTTAGCAGAGTTGATTTCCTTAATGCATGGTTTTTATTTTTCTCATTTTTGCTGTATTGCAGAGATGAAGTTGAACAGGAGGACTATCAGGAAAAAATTGCTTTCCAGCTTGCTGAACAGGAAGACGAAGAAGAACTTGAAAGAATTAAGGAGGAGAGCAGAAGGCGCAGGCAAGCTATTCTTGATAAATATAAGAATAAGCAGTCCCAGAAGGAGCCAATTACTCAATCCGGGGACGTAGGTATAACTTCTTCGAGATAAGATCTCCTCGTATTGTTGTGACCATTCTCAAAAAAAAGAAAGAGCATCTCCTGATATTGTGTTCTATTATGTTTTACTGTATTTCATGTTTCAACCTTGGCCTGATCTAGAGCTCTACGTGAACAACTAAGGTCTTTGGTTGGTTCCTTTTTTGACTTTGTTTTTACCTTCAGGTTTACTGTCTGTTATGCATGCATATGAGCTTTGAATGTGTAATTTTGCTAATTAATTGCCCTTTTTACTGAGTTTAAGTGCCAAGTTACTGTTTCTTTAATGAGTTTACTTTTGGATTTGAACTTTTAATATGCATGTTATGGAACTTAGGATGTTTAGTTGGATTCTGTCGCAACTCATGTTTTATGAAGCTTCGCATTGCACCTCAGACCATCCTGATCTATATGCTGAGATTTTATATGTTGGCTCTCTGCAAGTTTCTCTTTTCTGGATTGAATTTCTGGTCTTAACTATGTTTTTTTATTTGTTGACATTAGCTGAGCTTCTTATGGATCAGTCTACTCAGAAGCCTGCAGCCGGAGATAATTCCATGTCAGTGTCATTTGATGGTCAAACCAATGGTACAGATGTCCATGTTGATGAGCCAACATTTTCTGTTGGGAAATCACCTCTGCAAGCTGGTCATATTGCTGACGAGCAGGCTTCTGGAGCTGGTGGATTGGGGCAGGGTACACCAAAGGTGTGTTCACATGAAATTGAGATTTAAATTGGGTTTTCCTTTTTTGCGGTACTCATTCTCCTTATTTCTCTTTCAACACTATTTTGTCGGAGCTCTTAAGTCATGTTGCTTTTGTGTTAGGGTTTTGCTTTAGAATTAGTCGACGAAGTATTTTGCCTTCTGGTTTTGATTTTTGCTCCTTTAGTCCATTTCTTAAATGCTGGCTTTATCTGATAATTGACTTCCGCTTACTACACTTTACAGAGTGAGAGGTCAGCGGACATGTTTTGTGACGATATATTTGGAGAATCACCTGCTGGCATCAGGAAAATGGTCAGTCTCTGTCTTTGAAACATTTTTTTTTAAAAACATCGTCTGTGATTTTGGGTGCTCATTCTTGGATCTTTAGCTTGTGTTGACTTTTAATGTCTAGAGATTCTAGGCACTAGAAGTATGCATACTGTTGTGAAATTCAAAGTAGCACTTGTTATGTTGGCCATCTCACTGATTTCTTGTGCCTCTTGATTGTATTCATGGGATTATGTGCTGGTATTGTTCTCTCTCTGTCTGTTAGGATATATTGTTGGGGTTCTCTATTAGAGGAATGGTGTTTATTTTTTCGAATTCGAACAAACGGTGAGGTGTGAGACTTTCCTTTCCTGCTGACCCCAAAGTGACAAAATGGGGAACGGGGAACCATTTTGGAAACGACGACTAGCTTTCACTTTATTATGTTTCTAGCTGAGACTTGAGAGTTGCTCCTTCTGTCCATACTGTGGGGGAGTGTGTGTGTTTATTTAGCTGTGGTAGACTTTGTAATACATTCAGTTTAAAGTGTGATGTCTAATAATAGACTATTTTTTGAACTCTGGATTTATAAGTCTCTCTTCTTGCTCCATGCTGCCCAAACAATTACAAAACCGCGGCCAACAAGAGAGTGGAAAAGAGGATTGTTTTCTTTCTTTTGTTACTCGTACTGAAACTGTGGGAAACTTGTCTACTGTGCTTATGTGAAGTCCTTTCCTTGTCTTTGTAATAAGTACATGGATTTCATGTTTCTCTGGTTTTATCTGTCGTCTTTCAGGGCAAAGGAGATGGCGTGGCAGTTCAGCGCAGTGGCCTTCATGATAACTGGGATGATCCAGAAGGGTATTATAGTAAGTATCTCACCTCACTTATTACCTGGATTCTTGATATTTTAGCTTTTACTTCAGAGCATGCTGGCGCTACTACATTGATACGTGCCACCATATTCATTGATATTTGATCATGATAGCCTCCTTCTCCATGTTAATTGTTATTTGAAGATGCTTGATAAATTTTGAGTAACGTCTGATCAATTCTCTGTTTACTTCTGTTGATTAATCATAATACTGCTGTTTATTCAGGTCCACAGACACAAAGTACTTAAGGAAAAAATGTCATCTCCTGTTTTATATTTCAAGTTGAGATTTTATTTTCTAATTGATATTATGTCTCCCATCATCCGCGGAGTTCCCTATTTTCTATGTGACTTAGTATTCTGATGGTCATGGCATGAAGGGACAGAATTTAAGTTTGTAGATGGATGTAGATAATATGGGAATTTTGTCTCTGTGCTTTAATTTCTTCACTTTTTTGTTTAAGGATGGTGACCAAACTAAATGATGTCCTCTTTATTGGGACTAAGAACCATGCAACACTGACCAAAATAAGATGTTATTAGGGTCTAAGGGGATTGGGTTTCAATCAACAATTTCTCGGAAGTATATTAAAAAAAATTAATTAAAATATCATAATTGGGAAAAGAATGTGTAAAGAATAGAGTAGATAGTACGAGAGTATTTATATTTTAAATTAATTTTAAAAAGTAATAAAATAAATAATTTTACACAAAAATAGTAATCATAAATTTAAACAACGGAAGAATTCTGTGCAAATAGATTAAAAAGTATAGTTTGAGGTGATAAAATATTTTCAGTTTGAGTTGATCCAGATAATATCTTCGACATAATCTTTTGGGGCTTATACTTATATATTCGAGAAATAGGTGACTGAAACCCAATCCATTTAGATCCTAATAACATCTTATTTTGATATTTTTCTTGATGGCTTAAAACTGTTGTCTTAGTTGATGTCTCATGTTTTCTTGTTTGCTTGCAGGTTATCGTTTCGGAGAAATTCTTGATGACCGTTATGAGATTGTTGCTGCTCATGGTAAAGGAGTATTTTCTACTGTTGTTCGGGCTAAAGATCTCAAGGCTAGACCTGGTGACCCGGAGGAAGTAGCAATAAAAATGATACGCAATAATGAAACAATGTAAGCTTTTTTATTTCCCCATTTCGTGCTATCCTTGCTTGTTCTGGTGGCCTAATCATGCTGTTTTCGTCCTTGTTAGGTATAAAGCTGGTATGGAAGAGTTGATCATTTTGAAGAAGCTAGTTGGTGCAGATCCTGAAGACAAGCGTCATTGTGTTCGTTTTATTTCTAGCTTCAAGTACCGGAATCATCTCTGTTTAGTTTTTGAGTCTCTACATATGAATCTCCGTGAGGTTCTGAAGAAGTTTGGGCGTAACATTGGACTCCATCTCACTGCTGTTAGGGCGTTTTCGAAGCAACTCTTCATTGCTTTGAAGCATCTAAAAAATTGTGGCGTGCTTCACTGTGACATTAAACCCGACAACATGTTGGTAAGTGGGATGGTTTGAGTATTCTTCATCTCACATCTGCTGAGAGTAGCTTTATTTACCTTGCTTCCCTTTATCTGTATATATATATTGACTTTTCTGTATTTACTTGTTTAGGTAAATGAATCGAAAAAAGTGTTGAAGCTTTGTGACTTTGGTAATGCTATGTTTGCTGGCAAAAACGAAATTACTCCATACCTCGTGAGCCGTTTTTATCGTGCCCCAGAGATCAGTAAGCATCGATTCTCATGATATGCTTTTCTTTTGGGACTTCCCTTTCACTTTTTTTTTTTGTTCAAAGCTCGAACATGATCCTATGTTGTTCTGTGAATCTGTGGTTTTGTTTGATTAAGTTCTGTATTATGTTTTGTTGCAGTTCTTGGCTTGTCGTACGATCACCCAATGGATATATGGTCAGTTGGATGCTGTTTGTTTGAGCTTTATGCTGGGAAAGTCTTATTTCCAGGTGCAACTAATAATGACATGCTTCGTCTTCATATGGAATTGAAAGGTCCCTTTCCAAAGAAGATGCTTAGAAAGGTTTGTCTTGGACATTCTCTATATTACCCTAATCTAGTTAGAAATTTTTATGATTTGAAGTTATAAGCCTGGTTATTAGTTGCTGTGGACAATTCTGCTAAGGTGATTGCATTAGGTGCTGCTTTTATGGTTTTTGCACCTTTCTTAATAATTGACATGATATAGTCAATGTAGAAACATTAATTCTCTTTGTTCTTCATTTATTTCAGGGTGCATTTACAGATCAACATTTTGACCAAGATCTCAATTTTCTTGCCACCGAAGAGGATCCTGTTACGAAGAAGGTTATTTCTTGTAGACTTTAGCCTGTCTTGTCATTCCTCGATAAACTAACCATTGATAGTCATTAATGATAACTTGCTGTATATTAATTTGGTTGCAATTGTATGCTTCACAGGCAATAAGGAAGCTGATTGTCAACATCAAGCCAAAAGATATCAGTTCAATAATTTCAGGTTCTCCGGGTGAAGACCCAAAGATGTTAGCTCAGTTTAAGGATCTTATGGAGAGAATCTTTGTATTAGACCCGGACAAGAGAATAACTGTTTCCCAGGCATTGAGCCACCCATTCATCACGGGCAAGTGAACAAAAACGATGATTTTCTGCTAGCGACATGCGGTTGCACTAGATGCTACTGCATTATGATCATATGATCTTAGTTTATATTCAGTTCTCTAATCAATGGGCCTTATCTGTTTTTATCTACTATCTTGAGTTAAAGTGCATTGGAGCTTGGCATGGTTGAAGTTGCAGAGAAGATTGTTGACCGTGGGAGATCTATATCTTGGCAGTTCATTCTTTCAGTGGAATGTTTTCTTTTCTATCGTAAGATAACTTGCCAAAGGCGTTTTTCCCTTCTGTACTAATTCTTGATGGTGACATTACAAAGATCTTCATAGATTTTTTAAAAGTTATCATGTCTCAAGTTGTACTTTGGGCTCGAGTCCTGAGAGCGGCGAGTAACGTGCACCAAATTAGATATTGACAGAAGCATGGTTATTCATATGTCTCTGTAAATAAACCTTTTGAATATCTGTTTACTTTGAATTGTTGATGGCGGTCTATCTTTTCTCTTTTTGTCCCTTTCTGTACTTTTAGTTTTCTTGACCTCTTTTCTTCCAATCTGATTTAACTGTTTATTTTGTGGAACTTTACATAGTTTTCACGCCTTCATCTTAATTGAATATCTTATCTCTTCATGTTTACATACTGTTCAGAATCCTTGGGTCCTGGAAAGTCTAATTTACTTTTTCCTTCAGGATATCTACCAGGGCTTTGAGGCAAGATTCAGTGATTTAGATGCTTAAAAGGCACCCTGGCGAAGGTACCTTGGCTTGTTTGTTAGGAATTACTGTGACACGCTTGGTTTACATATGGCTGTTCTCAATTCCTCTAACATCAGCCATAATTTTTGTTTCTCCTTTGTGTTAATTTTTAATTTTCTTTTGACAAGTTCTGATTCCTGAACTTTAATTTGGTCTTTCCTGAAAAACTGCATGCCTGAGGGTGGCTTGTTAATTAGCCTCCTTAGGCTAGAATAGTAAATCTATCAAGAGCTAGAGTATTTCTTCTATTTGGAGTCATTGTTGTTTCTTCAATTTCTTATTCTTTGTACAAAAACACTTTCTAATGAAGTTGCATTGCATCTGATTCATGGTATGGTCATCCTGGAGCATTGTATGACTGGAGATGATCAGATGCAGCCTTGAAGTGAGAGTTGTTTCAGTGAGTTGTCAATTCTAATTTCTTGCTGTTTGTTCATTAAGAATAATATATTCTAGACCCCATTGAGATGTGTGGTATTGATATGGCTTTTTGTCTTGCTAGGGTGTGGTTTCATGCTTCTGCAATTCTAGTAAGTATCCTTGAATTTTATTACATCTCTGGTGTAATATTTGGGTATCTTTTGAAAACCTGATTCTTTTTTTCTCCAATGTTTTGCATTCAATGTTTGCTAGTCATCAATGGAAATGATGACGTACATGGAGCACTCTGATTCAAATTCTTTATTGGTTTTGCTAATAAAATTGGCCATTTTGGATGAAATCTATCTCAAATTTCAATTGTCCTTTTTCCAAACACTTTAATTCCCATGCCAGATTTTTTGTTATGAAAACAGCCATCTGTCTAGCTTGCATTGGAATTTGACATTGTTGTAGCTTACAGTGTAATTCTTAGTGTCATGTTTGGTTATGCGAATGTATTTATACAGATATTTTTATTTTAAAATAAGAGTTAATTATCTAAATGATACACAAATATTTTTCTTGTGAACACATACATAAGTTTTAATGTATATCTAGTATTATGTATACAAGAACTATTATATATTATTTATTCAAAATAAATAGTCTTTTTTGTAACAATATATTAAAATAATTATTATTTGTAACTTATATCTTATATGATAATCGATTTCTTCCAAACTAATAAGTAGTACTTTAACTTGAATGAATTAATAAAATTTGAATAACGGGTTTATACGTTTTTCCAACTTATGTGAATATAATAATGAAATTCATGATATGTTGCAGTTTTTAAATTCAAAATTATGTAGATACGAGTTTAGAAAGTATTTTTCTATAATAAACATATATAGTAATTGATAGAAAACAAAACTTGTAATTAGATAAAATATGAATATTATCTTTACACGTCTAGTTGGAAGATATATAAAAAATTTAGTTAGACCTATTGATAAAGCATTATATTTATTAATAAAAAATCAAAAGAATAATAAATAATAATTAGTAATTAATAAATAAATGTCCCAAAAGTGAAAAATCTTGTTTGAGTAGTCCTAAAGTGAGTTTAATTTATGTCACCAAATGCATAATTAATCACGTTTGGAACTCAAACATGATCCCAAAGTGTAAAAGGTAAAAGCATATTCTACGCAACTATGTATTGTAGGAAGTTAAACTTAGAAAAAAAAAAGAAATAAGTGAAATGGAGTTAGCAGCTACATTCACACTTTTTGAGATAGAAATGTGAGGAGGAAAGAAATGGAAGAGAAAGAGTCGTCCTTTTTTAGTATGTTTGAAAGAGAAGTGGTAATAATTTAAAAAATCATATACCACCATTCTCCCCTGGAGAATTAGAGAGTGTAATTGGTCTCTCAATGACATTGTTCGACAAACATGCAAAATAAGTAATTACACCGTATTACACCCAAATCCAATTGCAAGATGACTTTCCAAATAAGCCATAGGTGATCTTTTTCCTTTTGTAGCCCGCAACCTTGCTAGTGGAAGGTAGGATTTATCCGGTGGAATAGCCGAACTACACACATGGAAGGTAGGATTTATCCGGTGGAATAGCCGAACTACACACAAGCTGGGCCAGTTACCACCGTCATAAAGAAGTAGGGAGAAGTGTTATCACTGTTTATTTTGTTGCATGTCCTGTAAACTAACTTTTGTAGCAAGTTACCCTTCATATTTCGGTAGGTTGGTCGTTCATCTTTCTCCATTGGAAATAACGACACCTCAAACAAGTGTAAACGAGGACAAACATATCTTCCCACGCGTGGAGAAAATAGAGCGAGCGAGGGAGTTGAGAAGAGGGTTGGTGCACGTGTTTTAGGTGGCCCATAAGGATATGATTGCGAATGTTTGATTTCTCAATAAGATTAAGAATCTTCTCCTGCATTGCATTTTTCTCCAATCTACACAGTCAAGGACTATTTGACAAGCTTCCCATGTTCTTTTCCACCTTCTTCAAGGAACAATTGACAAGTTTTCCATGTTGTTCTTTATCCATCTTTCAAACCAATGTCTTGCTCCCTGGCCAAGCCTTTTCGACTCTCTCTATCCATTTTGGTAACGATTTGACTTGATTATTCATGACGAGCTCTAACTCGTATAATTTTTTATCTATTGGATCTATCCATCGAGAGAAAATGGGACGGAGATGTGGTGTATAGCCAAGAGTCTTAACCTCTCAACGTTGACTACTATTCGACCAATCTTTGTCTCTCATGCTAGCAAATTCAGCATTCAAGTTAAATATCATTGTCTTTAACCTATCAGCGGTTGACTACTATTTGACTAGCAATCCCTGCCACTTGCTAGCAAATCAGCGTCCAAGTTCAGTATCATATTTTTAAGTTTTATGGTATATTCACTTTGTCACGCTAGTCACTAGCAATCGCTCTCGTTATTTGTCAATCTTGCATTTTCCGAGTTTCTATTTTTGTAGTTCTATTATTGCAAAGAAATTTTGCAATTCAAAGCATTCTATCTTTTCTAATCATTTTCCTATGTGTCTCGCCAACTTGCTCCGACGTGTCAATTTAGGTGCTGTACCATGTCGACACGACACTAGTATGGGTGTGCGTATGGGATTTGTGTCGGATCTGGTCAAACATTTTTGGGTGCTTTGACCACGACAGATAGAAAAATTTGAGATGAAATACAATTTGATTCTCTAAATCACAATCAGAACTTGGGTAGATTTGAATAATTATCTAGGAAATTGATCGTTTACTTATCTACAACTTGAGAATATAAAAGAAAGTGCAGTGTTGAGTATTTGTGTGGGACAAGAGGCATTAAATTGTTTATCGGGTTAAGACTAAAATATAAGGTGTGTCTTTCAAATTGGTCTGAATATTAAAAAACAAATATAATTATCCCTCATTTGTTGTGTAAGGGTTTCCAAAGGAGTTTATAATGCCCTAGCCACTCTACCCATAGCATTAAGTTTCGGGTTGGATGCTTCGTATCCTAGTGGTTCTGTAAGGTTTTCCAGAAGAGTTTATAATATCCTGAGTTTATAAGGTTTCCCACTCATTACTTAGAGGTTTTGGGTTGGATACTCGGATTGGTATCAACCCTTTTCCCCAATTTTGTTTCTATGCTATCCGTTTGCCACGGGCTTCGCTCGTTTTCTCAATTCATCACGTTTTGCTAGTATTTTGCTCTAAGATTATAATGTAGTTTGTTGAGCATGCTCACTCTTGAGTTTATCGAGTCTACTCTCTCTCGTTAACTTTTAGTCCATTCTCGCATGCTCTCTACCACATGTCTTTTCTCTAGTCTCCTAAAAATATAGATCAACACAAATAGAAAACAAAAAGTAAAAAATATTTAAATATTCACGTTTAAACTTTAGAATTGAGCAATACATACTTAAGGGTCTTAAGGTACACTTGTCCCTTATCGGTTGTGTCAGTCTTACCAAAGATGTCTATAATGTCTTGGGTAATTCCACCTGTTGCCCTTGGACTTGGGCTTGGATGCTCATTTTCTTTCACTAGGTTTGAAAACTAAACTTTGGTATCTCCGTTGTCACAACTGCAATTTTGTAGTATTCATTCGCTTTTGGCTTCTCTTTTAGTTTTATCTCATTGAGCCATTAGCTTTGCTACAACCCATCTTAATTCTTTGTTTACCCAATGTTGGGACTCTTATGTTGTCTGCGTCCCAGATGTATAGTATCGAGCGTATGAAAAGGAGGGGCTGATAAGTATCCCACATAGCAATGAGTCGTCTCTTTATATTGTCTCGGATAATTTTCACGGTAGGCGTTATCTTTTTGGGTTGAGTTAGATCTAAGGCACATTTTCTTTACACGTTATTAGAACCAAACTTTGGTAAGTTTGGTTTTACAACCACAATTTTCTACTATTCGTTTGTTTTGGGCTTCTTTCTCGTTCTTAGTCTAGCCGATTGAGCCACTATCTTTGCTCTAGGCTCATTCTGTTGAGCATATTGTTTCCCCCAACTTCAAGCCCGTTCTTTAGTTTGCCGTTTCTTACTCTTAGCTACATTTTTTAGTCTTCTAAAAAGGGTGCAAACAGGAAAAAAAGAAAAAAGAAAAAAAAGTTATCTTTAGAAATCCATGTGTAAACGATAACCCCGGGTGTTGAAGGATATGCTTCCCTTATTGGTTGTGTAAGGGTTTCTAAAAGGTGTTTATAATGTTTTGGCCATCCACTCGTAGGTTTAAGATTTTGGGTTTAATGTGCAAATTCTTTTAACAAAAATAATGCAATTAAATATTTTATGGCATACCTATGATGTTACCTTTTCTATGGTGTGTCACTTGCACTTGATTTGACTATTGAACCAATGATCCCTGATCAACTCCCCAGTTTGAGGTTTTAAGAGAATGCTCTACTTTTCTACTCGAAGTATGGGTTGTGGATTGTTCAAGGAAAAAATTTAGGCGAAATACATAAACGACCCCTTTAAGTTGGCCACAACGACCAGACAAACACCTCAACTAAATCCTTTACCATTTAGACACTTCAAGTGTCCATTAACCAGATCAAATAAACACGTATTGCTGATGTGGTATGCGCGTGTTTGCTAATAAAATTTTAAGCGCGTGAATCATTTTTTCAGCCTAATTTTTTTTCTTTGAAAAAACTTAAGAATTGGGCGTATCTTAGCCTCTCTTCTTGTCTTGACCAACCCACGTCAACATCACCGTGAAGCCACCATTAAAACCAACCACTAAAACTCCAACCAAGCTACCAAAAATCATCAGAAACTGCCCCTTTCATCACAAAGTTCCACTGCCCCATATCCTCTAAAGCTCCGCCTAATTCCTTCGAGCCAAAACTAGTTCCAAACCCAACTGATAAGCAGCAAAAATTACAGCATCAATAGTTGCGAAAAACCACCAAATCTCCACTAGATAAACATCCTCTTTCCTCCAACTACACCTTCATTCCAATAGAAACACACAAACAACCAATTATTTGAATCAACCGGCAATTTTAAGGATAATTTTGTACCAAAAATAATTAAAGAAGTAAAAGTGATATAAGCCCAAACTCATAGTCAAGAAACGATGAAGAGAGAAGAGTGAAGATTCCAGTAGAATCATTTCGTTCAGATTTGCTCGGAGATTAATTTTCCGGCAAGATAGGTCGCATGAGAGGAGCTTTTTCCGACGAGTTCCGTCACTGATCACTTAGTGGGAAGGGGAAGGGGTCTGATAGGAATGACTTATGTTCAATTTGTTAAATTGAGGGTGGATTTGAAGGAAGGAGATGAAGAGGGTGGGGTGGCGCTGGTTTTGGTCGGAAGATGAAGTTTGTTGGGGGGGGGGTTGCGTTGGTTTGGTAAAAAAGTTAAGAAAAAGGCTTTTTTTATTCCTTAAAATGCATTTTCATTTTTTGTTTATTATATGTGTAAAATTTCTATTACAAATTACTCGTGTCGTTCATTAATTGGCTCATTTGACACGTCATTAGCAAGTGTAACTCACGTATATGATCTATTGCACTCGTGTATTTATTTGTTCTGGTTAATGGACACTTGAAGTGTCTAAATGGTAAAAGGGTTCAGTTGAGGTGTTTGTCTGATCGTTGTGGACAACTTAAAGGGGCCGTTTATGTATTTCGCCAAAAATTTAATGAGCTTTCTAACACCTAGATTTCATGATCAAAGAAAGGCACTAATGTAGAAACTTTAAATAAATATGTAATGTAAAAAACAAAAAAATTTAAAACAACAACATACCCAGTGCAATCCTACAAGTGGAGTCAAAGAGGGTAGAGAGTACGCAACCTTACCCCTACCTTGTGTAGGTAGAGAGATTGTTTTCAGTAAGACCCTCGGCTCAAAACAAGCATGCATTATCACAACAGTATAAAGAAAAGATATGCAGTAGTGAAAAAGTCAAAAGACGCAATAACAACATGATAATAGTAAAATCGAAACTCAACATCGTCAGATAATAATAGAAATCTAACAATATGTAAATATGAGAATAACACTACCACTACTGGGGTGAAAGGAAAGTCGCTCGACTCCCTACTGCCCTTCTACCCTGATTCTTGACCTCCACTTTCCTATCAAGGGTCATGTCCTCGGTAAGCTGAAGATGCATCGTGTCTTGCCTAATCACCTCTCCCAGTACTTTTTCGTCCTACCTTTGCCTCTCCCAGGCCCACCATAGTCAATCTCACATCTCCTTGCTGGGGCACCCAGACATCTCCTCTTCACATGTCCCAATCATCTCAGCCTTGCTTCCCGCATCTTGTCCACCACGGAAGCGACACCTATCTTGCTGCGAATAGCTTCATTATTAACCATATCCCTTCTAGTATGCCCACACATCCATCTTAGCATCGTCGTCTCTGCCACTTTCATTTTCTGGACATGCGAGTTCTTGAAATGCCAACATTCTGCCCCATACAACATAGTCGGTTTAACTCCCACTTCGTAGAACTTACGTTTAAGTCTCGGTGGAATGTTCTTATCATACAATTCACCAAATGCTAGCCTCCATTTCATCCACCGCGCACCAATTCGATGTGTTACATCCTTGTCGATCTCCCTATTGCCTTGTATTACTGAACCAAGGCACTTGAAATTTCTTCTCTTGGGAATTATTTGTGAATTCAACCTCACTTCCATGCCAACCTTCTAAATCACGTCGCTGAACTTGCACTCCAAATATTCTAAATTATTCCTACTCAACCTGAAGCCTTTAGACTCTAGAGTCAACCTCCAGACCTCCAGGATAGCTCTAGCATTTACTCTGTTTCACATCTCGTTAATCGGTACTATGTCATTTGCAAACAACATGTACCATGGAACCTTCCTTTGAAATTAAAATGTCAATCGAGTTCAAAAACTGTTCTGGTTCATTTAGATGTGCATATATAGTTTTAAGTTTCAAGTGGCTAATTTTGTTTTATTAAGTTTCTATTTCTTATTCCTAATCAGTAAAAAGCTTATTCGTAACATCTTTTAAGAATAATAAAATCATTTTAGAAACTAAATTTGTTGTCATGATGCCCCAAAGAGAGCCCATGAACAATCAGACATATGCCTTAGCACTTTGGTGCTTACATTGGAGTGCTGCCTAAAAGTGAAGTACTCAACTTAGGTTTCAACTAGATTTAGGGTTAAGTATGCCTCAAGCAAGCCTTCAATGGTAAGTTGCTCTTGCATGTGCTCATTCACCTCCCTTCCTAAATAATGAAACTATTTTAAAGCATAGTTAAATCTCAATTTTCATTGGATATGTGTGTGCATTGTTAATCGTGTCAATCATCCTTTGAGGAAAAAGGAAAAAAGAGTGACGTTTGCATTGGTTGGATGTCACTTATTGGTCTACATTGCTTAGTTGTTGTTGTATTGAAGGTAAAATAAAAGAGATTTACGTGCTCTGGCCTCACTTATTTGAGGAACCAAAAGATTGATGTGGTTGTGAAGGTGTACATTGTCCTCTCTAAGTGGAAGAAAAAAAAATCCTTCCTCTTTGATTTTACGCTCTTTTTACTCCAGACAAGAGTAGAGACTTGTCGCTCGTAGTGTTTGCTTTATACACATTAAGCAAATTAAGCTTGGAAATTACTAGTATGCTGATTATTGTGTTGGAGTTTGGTATCTAGGGTGTACTCCTTACACCGTAACACCTAGTATCCTTTTTGTCCGTTTTCATTCAGAAAACACAAGAAGCTGGCCCGTAGGTTTGAGGTAGCATCCATAAAACATAAAATTGGGGATATTGTGGTAATTCAGCTATTTTCATCGAAGTTATAACATGTGTTTTGGCATTTTCAATTTTAAAAGGAAGTGTGCCCCATTTAGGTGGACCATTAACTCCAAATGCGTAACTTGACTTGATTTTAGCCGACTTTTTTGAGCTTACTTTAGATGCCGGGAGGAATCACTTAAAATGACTCGCTTTGAACACTCCCTTTGTTGAATGACCCCCATTGTTTGTGGGTTGCTTCTCTCGTTATCTATCTTTGACGAACCACTCACATACCTGCTTCTCTGTCTTAGCTGAACTACTCGGAATCTTTGGTTTCTTGAACTACTAGCATTCCTTTTATGGCCTCATCAGGCCTCTCAATCTCTGTTTGTTTCCTTTTACTTTTTCTTATCTGTCTCTAGCTTGGTTAGGATTTGAAATTTGAGTACTTTGTTTTTGGTGAATTTTCAATTGGTTTTATGTGTCTTTGTTCTTCAAAATTCTTTTTATCAGTTTAAAAATAAATTTAGAATCCATTGAAACCTGTGGATGTTGTGTCCATTAAATCCAGATTTTAATCCATAAGTTCCATTTCTTTGGACTCAACCAATGTGGATTTAATATAGCATTCCTAATATATTAATTTCAAACTTAAAAATGTGTGATAGTTGACATTACAAATCACTTTTATTTATTGTATAATTGGTGGTGACATCATCCATCACTGGTTTGGATAACATAAGAAAGTTATTTGGAAGACCAGACTCTAGAGCGAGGGTTGGGGGTGTTTTGAGTTTTTTTTTTTGGGGGGGGGGGGGTTGGGGTTA